AGCGGCCGGGTCTACGAGCCGCGCACACCGCTCGTGGTGGACGCCCCGAGGCCGCCGACCGCCACGCCGGGAGCTGAAGGCCCCCGGTCTGACGGTCCGGGAGAGGCAATTAGCCCGGATTTCCAGGCCCACCGTGACGCCGCGGAGCCAACTCCTCGTCCCGGAGACTGGCAGCTTCGAGCACACGGAGGACATTAATGGCAATTTACGTGCCATCACTGAGACGGAGCCACAAAGGCTGCGCTGGCAGCCTCTTATTTTGAAGCCTATTATTTGTGGGAGGAACAGACTGCAATCACAACAGAACCTCTCAAAGCCCTTATCTCCGGTGACGCACCGAATCTATTTCAGGGCCCTAATTGCTATGTCACCAGAGAGTTTGCTGCTTAATGCACTCAGATGGCATTTAGTGTTTGCAGGGTCGTTACCGCCGGCAGGCCGGGGAGCCTGGTGGGGCGCTGGGGGTGCAGTGGGGTGCGGCCTCCATTGTGCCTCGTTGATTCAGGGCGGGTCTTCTTGCCTGAGAACTCTGTTTACAGACACAATGAGAGCAAAGGCTTGGGAACCACCTCGGGACCGTGCACACACCTGGCACGTCCCATGGCACGCCAGGGGTGCGGGGGGCAGCCTCGTCCTGCTGGGGTCCTCGTCCACGTGGAAAGCGGTCCCAGACACGTGTGCGGTGGAGCCCTCACAGCCTCACGGTGGGCTCGGGCGTCGGCAGAAGGGGAAGGGCAGGGACCCGTCCAGGACGCATCAACGCTCACAGGTCGCGAAGAAGACTCAGGGCACTGACGTGGCCTCCAAAGACGAAAACGTCTCGTCTGGCTAAGTCCCGAGAAACCTTTTCAAATACACCGGCTCTGTCTGTTCAACCCGGCTGAGCTTGCACAGGTTTACCGACAACGCGTGGCGTGGAGGGTTGTACTAGGCACGAGGTAACCCTCAGGACACGTTGGGCGCAATGACCTGCAGAGAATGCGTAGGTTCTGTTTTGTACCCCGGGTTTTTCAGGGACCAGGTACCTCGAGGACACCTTCTCGAGTCAGCTGCAGCCTGATTCTCTTCCTAAGATCAACCCTAGCTTCCCTCGCACACCTGCCTTCAGTTTCCCGAGGGTGACAACTCGCTTTCCCACCTGAACTGTCCACAGAAATAAACAGAATGAGACGGGGGTGGAGGGCGGGGGGCTTTTACTATTTTCCAAGGGTTTCTAAGTACAGAGGGGATGATGTCCTACTGTGAGAGCCCGGAATGCATTTACAAGACCAACGGGCACACGGAAAACATCTCACTAGTAACCAGACAGAAACGAACTGAAATCAAATACGAGTGAGACTTGGGGGGGGGGGGCACATCTGGGGACCTGCGGAGTCATTGTCACTGAGCTTGCAAGGGAACGGGTTCGATCGTGGGCGGAACACACTGCTGGACCGACCAGGAGACTTTACCCTCCGTGACAGAGGGTCAGACTCGTTATATCCTTTGATCCGTCAAATCCACTTTCGGGAATGTCTTCAAGGAAATAACAGAAAACCTGTGGCTCTCTGCACCTAATTCCCTCAGCGATGATGTTCACCACAGTATCATTGATAATAGTAAAAAATAAGGAAAACAACTTCCCTGTCGCCAGGTAGAGACGGAGTCAAATCACGGACCTTCCCCGCGACAGGCTCCTGACGCAATTACAGAAGGATGTTTGAGGAAACATGCGAACCACTCGCGATATATTTTTAGGGAACTAAGTGGGCTACGAAACGACATGTTTGCTACGATCAGCACTTTTCCGCACCGACACAAACACACTCACACACACAAACGCCAGGAGGCTGCTGAGCAGCAAGTTCACGGCGATTTTCTCCCGCGTGACTTCCCTGCGGTCCCCAAACGCCCCACGTTAAACACCATTCTGTCATCAGGCGAAAAGGGACGCGGGCAGGGACACTGAAACGAGGGTGTGAGGGAAGCCCGGACTCTCTGCGGACCGGAGCGGTGACAGCAGACGGGAAGGAAGGGCCGGCCAGCGAGGTGGTCTCGTGTCTGACCGACACACCTGGACACTCTCTCCTGGGCTCACCGCCACCCTCAAGCCCGCGAGGTCGCCGCTGTCACCCGAGACCACAGAGCATGCTGGGAAGGACGGGCCGCAGGTGGCTCTCCGTCCCCCTCGAAGCAAAGCCCCCGCCAGATCCATGTCCTCACCGCCCTCCGTGGGAACCACCTCCCGGGAAAACTGCTCACCCAGGAGCAAGGGGCCGACGCCGTGGGCTCTCACCACCGCATGTCACCCGGCACCGGGCGGCGCCTGCCAGGCCTCCCCTGAGCAGCCCCTGCGGCCGGAAGGGTGGGTGCACGGCCCGCTCTCCAGAAGAGGCTCCACGCCGGCCGGGACACGCGTGTGGGGCGACTCCCAGCCCCGCCTCCCCACGCTCTCTGCAGGCAGGGCCGGGCTCCCAGGTTCAGTGGGTGCTGCAGGGGCACACGCGGGTCTGTGCACCCCCAGCCGGGGGTGAGGGGAGCTGCCCAGAAACACCCTCCCGGGGGTGAGACACGACCCAGAGCCCAGATGGGAGGCTCAGCTGCCCCGGGCGGGGGGTGTTTTCCTTTCTTGGCTGGAACCTTTCGTTTCTGTCCTGTCTCTTCTGGTCTCCCTGCTCTGCCCCCCTTCTCCTGACAGCCACGGCCCATTCCAAGTGCACACGTGTGCACACACACAGACATACGCACATTCGCGCACAGGCACACACACAAGGACACACACACAGATATATACACATTTGGACACACACACAAATATACAACTCACACACACATGAACACACAAACACACAGAGACCTTCACACATTCACATACAGACATACACACAAGTTCACACACACACGGACACACACACACATGGACATACACAGAGATATGCACAAACACATACATACACAAGCACATACACAACACACACACGGACACACACACACGCCCCAGCAGCTCATCCCACTACCTGACAGCACACCTCCCTCTGAGCAGCTGGGTCTCCGGCAGGTGGCACGATTTGAAATCGCTACCGAAGAAACACACCCTGAGCCCACTGGCCGTGTACCCTCTGCCTGGCACATTAAAGACCCAGAACAAACCAACACCGTCCACGGGAGGACGAGGGCTCCCGGCGGCACTGTGCAGCTGGTCTGGGCAGGCTTACGTCCTCAGACACACCGTCAGCACATGTTTGGTTACAACGCTCCAGCAACGACTCCCAGCCCAGGACGCCACCAGGGGGCTGCGCCGACCCCCGAGCCCGAGGGCGTGCACCCGGTGGGAGAGATGCCAGCGCAGGGAACCGTAGCCGCTTCCTGCCCCATCACGCACCTCCGTCAGCTCCTCTGAGAGCCCACATCCCCTCCGCACGCTCACGCAGACCGCGGCTCTCTGGAAAGCCCTGTCTGGTTCTGTCAGGAAGTACGAAAGGCCTGTGGGCCGGGGACCCCCCACTCCCCCACCCCCCATGGCCACGGCACCCGTCTGGGACCCACTGTGGAGAACACGCTTCTCCATCACGCGGGCCGTCCCCGGCAGGCTCCGCAGCTCAGCCGTGAGTACCTAGCACACAAGGTCCCTCAGCTCAGCTCCGGAAACCCCCCGACGGCCCAGAGCACAGGGGCCGGACCAGCTCCGAGGCTGCGCTGTGCTCCCGGGAGGACCGGTCAGTGCTCCCTACGCTCGGCGGGGCTCTGCCTGAGGAAGGTGGAGAAAGAAGAACTCCCACTGGGACAGGCCGGAGTCGCCGCCGAGACCCGCACAGCCTGGCGTTGACGCCAACGCCCCATCGCGGAAGCCGGGAGCCCGTGGTGAGGTCTCGAGACGTCTGGGCGGCCGGCCCCTCTCTGGGGAACCCGGGCCGGCGGAAGGCCCCGCAAATGTTGGTGTGAGATGATTTTCTTTGAATCTGCTCCTCGGGGGTCCCCCCTTCAGGCAGGTTCTTCATGGTGAACCCAGACTCTCCCGGGCGACAGTGTCTAAAACCAGCATGGACCACCCACCTCCTCTCCGGTCTCATCCCCGCACCCTCGTCTGCTGGGCCGCGGGGCCTGGTGCCCTGGGCCCTCTGGTCTGGCCACAGTCACGTGTCGGACCACTGGCAGCTGACAGGTCATCACCACCTTCCTAGCGGACACAACACCCCACTCGGCACAGACGAGGATGACGAGTGTACACGCCGACTTCCCCTCCTTCCAACCCCAATTTAGCTAAATCCGAAACAACAAAAGAAAACCCTCCCGTGGACGCGCGTTCTCCACAGTCTCCGCCCACAGTCCCATGGGCGCCGCCCACGCCCCCGGAGCCCAGGACGCCACCGTCTGAAGAACAGCCTCCCTCCGCAGGCTGCCCTGGTCCCGGCTCGCTGTCACCGCTGCTGCGACAGCGGACGATTGATCTGAGAAATCGAGTTGGATTGCTGTCCCAAATCTACACTCGGCTCTCCTCGTGTCTGTCTGATCGATTTCGCTCGGCGAGACGCGGCTTGTCGCTATGAATTTTCATGCTAAGCCGGGAGCCGCCAGGGCAGGCTGGCCCGCACCCTCCCCACCCCTTCTGCACACCGGCCTCTCCGCTCATCATTTCTCTGGCCGTCCTTCGGGTCGAAGCAAGTGTCCTCTTAGACCGCGGACCTGGACGCCATGCCCACCGGCTACCGCCTTCCCGCCCGGTCCCCAGGCCCCGCTCATGGCGACACCGCGACCACAGCTGGACTGGGCGGCGCCTGTCCGGCCGCTCCTCGAGGCTCAGGCCATGTGGCCACAAGTGCCTTGCAAACACGGATGGTGTCTGACAGCCCCGCGCCGGCGGCCTGCGCGGAGCCCACGGTTTCCGCGGGGAGGATGCTGCCGGCGGCGTGGCCGAGACAGACGCGAGAAGCCAGGGGACCGTGCCGCCGAGGCCTGGCCTACGAGGTCCCCGTGGCTGTGAAATAATTGGCGGGGAGGGGATGGGGGGGCTTGTTTCTTACACTGATGCCCTGCGGACTGTACATCTGAGTGGCCGCGAGTCCGTCACTGTATCCTCCTGTCTGGCTGATAACATGGCGAAGAGTATCCACCTGGAGACGAACAGAGAGGAGGTCAGTCAGGGGGACGCAGGGACAGCGCGTCACAGGGGCCGCCCTCGGAGCCCTGTTCCTGGGGGCCACCGGAGGAAGCCGGCCCCTCCCTAAGCCAACCCGTGTCCTCTCTGAGCCCAGCGAGGTGGACAGGAACGTGGCAGCAGCAAGCAGGGACCCCCCCCCGAAATACTTCCATGAAGCTGCGCAAGACGGCAAGGGTTGGGGTGCTGGAGGGGCACAGGGGGGAGGGCCGGCCCCCCCACACCTGGGCAGCTTTTTGCTGGGTGCCCCGTGAAAGACAGGCTGTTTACAGGGGACTTGGCCAGCCACTCACCGAGAGCACAGGGTCCGAGGACAAGCGACGGCCAGCTGTTTGGTCACTTGACCAAAGTCTGACCGTGGCTCCTCAGGTGCACCCAGGCAGTCACCTGCGTGAGGGGTGCACCGCTGGACCCCGAGTGCCCCACGGTCCCTCGCCCGCCGGGTGTGAGGACAAGCTGCTCCCAGGGGCACCCCGGTCACACCACACGGCCTCAGCTTTGCTCCCCTCTGTGGCCCGAGACTCGGCACCAGAACAGAAGCCCCTGGACCTTCAGAGACTGAGCAGACCTGTCAGGTTGACCCGGCTGGGCTCCCAGCTGCACATGGAGGCGTGAGCCCCAAAGTGCCTGCCTTCTCGGGCTCAGCTCCACTCGGGCAGACACCGAGTGGGACCCCAGAGCCAGAGGAGACCTGCAGAGCAGACACCCCGCGAACAGGCCCTCCTTCCCCTCCGGGAACACAGGACGTGCTGAGAACACACGCCGGGCAGCCTGGTCCCCTCGCCCGGGCAGCCTGGCCCCTCGCCCTGGGCCTCTCGCTCCGGTCCCGCCTTCCCAGTGTGACGGACAGGCCAGAGCCAAAGGCATTCACCAGCGTGGACGAGGTCCCTCGACAATGGTTGTCTTTGCTGCGGTTTGGTTTGGCGGTTGCTAAGGTCCGTGCCTATGTCTCCCCCTCTCCGGACCGGAGCGGGCAGTGCCGATCCGACCGGGCGCCTGGACGCCGACCCCTCCACCTGGCGGCACACGCGGGTCCCTACCTGCGACTGCACGTTGGCTCCAACCTGGGCCCCTTGGTAAGAATCCCCATTGAGGGACTGCACGCTCATGAACAAATCTCCAGAGTTTGACATGTTAAAAGAGCTGGAAGAACCTGGAAAGGAAAGGGCGAGGCACCTGGATCAGAAAGGAGCAGGCTCCGTCCCGCGGCAGCCGAGGACAGCGGCATGCACAGCGACCCGGCCGCACCGCCAGCAGGGCCTCCGCAGGGCCTGGTTAGTAGCGTGGAGAGCAGAGCAAGCGACAAGGGTGCGTGGGTCCCTGTTACTGAAGCCACGTGAAGCCACGTCTCTGCAGGTGCCCCAGGACTGGTCCCTCGACAACGCCAAGCTGAGAAAGGGGACGTCTGTCCTTTGCCACTTCGTCCAGCGGAACTGGAGACAGACTCCAGACCCAAGATCTCCTTCCCGGCTTGAGAGTCCGGGGTGGCCAGGGGACCGAGCTGGGGAGCGTGGGCTGGCCGTGACCCTTCCACCTCCGCCACGGGCACACACGCTGGGCAGCGGCCTGCGAAGTGCGGCGCAGTCTGCCCATCCCGTCGCCCGGGGGCGGCACCGGGACAGGTGCGCAAGGCGGCGCCCCAGCGGGCTGGCCCCGTGGCGTGCCCGACTCTGCAGGAAGGCGGAAGGGCCTCGCTGGGTGGCAAACAGACCGAGAGGGCGTCCAGGGTTGCGAGAGCGTGTGAGCACAGGTGACCCTCCCTGCTGCTGCCATCGTGGGGGGAGAGGAAGAGGGGACGGGCCCCAAGGCGCCAGCATGCACGAGGTGTGAAGTGCTGAGAAGTGATAAAAGCAACAATAACAACAACAGCAGTAACAGCAACAAGCGAGTCCCAGGACGAGCAGTCAGCCCTGGGCCTTCCCTCCCAGAGAGGGAGCCTTCTCCCAGTGTTAGCCTCGAGGCCCATCCTGGCCCCCCGTGCCCGGGCACACCCAGCCCCCCACGCAACCGAAACCAGGGTGTGGAGAAGCCGAATGTTATCCTGCGTCATCATGCAGCTCAGCGCGGAGCAGAGAGAGCTTGCGTGCAAGGTGGGTTAAAGGATGGCGTTAGCCTGGAAGAGGAGACCGTAGGGACCCAGGTCAGTTCCACGCCGCTGCTCCCAACCCCAGGGCACGCCAAGTGCCCTCTCGCCCTGTCCTGAGACAGCCATCGTCCGCGTGGACTTGCCCACCAAGGGTTCGTGCCCAGCTCTGACCTCTCCTCTCTCAGGGAGCCGCCCTGCCTCCCGGGCCCAGTTCAGCTACGCAGGACGGACGGAAGGAAGGCGCCGATTCTCCCCACGGAAGGACCACGTCCCTAGCAACGCCCCTGCGCTCAGCGAGCCGCCGTCCCCTCAGCCTTCAAAGGCCAGAGCCACTGAGAGGAACCAAAGGATTCACCCGAGGACGGTTCGCCTGGGGACACCTCGCGTTAGGAAACACTGTTTATCTGGGCTCTCGGGGTGTTCATCTCCACGCAGGGACCCGGCTGCTTTGCTGCATAAGCTGAGCTCACCCCCGCTGCCATCTTTGGGGGTAGGGGATGACCCGAGCACCCCCTGAAGGGCTGTGACATCGCAAGGCTCTGCAAACACCTGTCTCGTCCGACATGTGTCTCCGTGCAGCTCACCCAGAAGGATCAGAAAAGCTGGGTCTCGGGAAAACCGGCACGAGGTCTGAGCGGGTCCGGCCTGGCCTGGAACGCCGGCCCCTCCGCTGTGCGAATTCCCAGGCCTCTGGGCCCTACTCATGTCCCTCGTAAATCTCCCTGTTGACCCCAGAACATAACCGAGACGATAAACCACTTTTCTACAAGCGTGACAATACACACGTGCGTTTCCGAGAGATCAGGACCGAGGACGGTGAGCTCCAAGGCCCCAAACAGTAGTTGCGTCTATGACATCGGATCATTTTCCCGGGGAGCGTGCGGTGTGCGGTATGAGGGTTCGGTTATTCCCAAAGAGGAATAAACACACACTACAGACGCCGGCGGATGGCGTGGTGGGAATCGGCACACACACTGACAGACGGGAGAAACCCCCAAAGGGTTACCCAGGTAACATGGCATCCACGGACCATGAAGGCCCAAATGTGCCTCTTACAAGATACACACTGCCATCAACACAGGTGATTTCAAACATATATGTGCACAGATGAGCGGTGACGGTGCCCCCAGGACGGAGATAACGCGCATGGCAGTGACCTTCGCGCCAGCCGGCTCTCGAGCCGTAACTGCAGGCGGCCCGGGCGGGCGGCGCCTCGTCAGCATTTCCTGTCTCCTGCGCGTGTACAACTGGATCCTGACTCTGGTTCGTATCTGGAGGCGGTGGCTGTGTTCAGGGACCGGAGTCCACAGGGACATCTAAACGAAGGCAGGTGCTCCCTCCTGCTCTGGGCGTGGGGAGCGCCCGTCTCGGAAAGAGCCAGAAAGACGAGACTCCGGGGCGGAGAGGACGGGCTCTCGGGCAGGCGTGGTGGCCTCGGGATGACCTCGGGCAGCTCCGCCTGCCTGCCGAGGTCCTCGGGGACCTCACCCGTGGGTGGCCGTAAAGTCAATTCGTAAAGCGCTCTGGGATGAGGGCCCGTGCTCGGGGAGGGGGGGGCAGGTGTGGAGCTACACCCCACTCGACCAGACTGGGGGCGCGGGTCACCGTGGGCCCCACACGTGCGCTCAGGCAGACGTGACGATGTGAGAACACCCACGTCCTAAAGACTGAATTTCTCAGAGTCTTCAGGGCACTTACATCTGTGCAGGAGAAAGAGAACCAGGAACTGTCGTCACCCAGAGGGAGAACGTGAACAGTCACATCTACACAGCACCCCTGGCCGTTTGGGCCCGAGACCGCTGGGGTGGGGACGTCGTAGGTGCTGTACTGTGGAGTGACCAGCCACCTCCCCGGCCTCATCCACCTGGCGCCAGGAGCACCCACCCTCCCGAACGGTGAGCCCGTCCAGAACGTCCCTCGGGCGCCAGCCTGGGGCGCCGAAGACCTGGAGCAGGACCGGGCGGCGGGCCCCTCCGCAGGAGCTCAGCGCTGGCCGGTGTCCGCTCCCCGCTGCTGCATACCCTCGCGGGGCAGCTGTGCACACGCGGCCCGACTGCTTGCAGGGTAAACAGAAACGCAGGCAGAGCAGGCGCCCTGGTCAGAGTGGGCCCCACGCCCTCTGCAGGCTCACAGGACTGAGCCCCTCGCTCGGCGGAAGCCTACCCAGGTCTCAGGCTGGCCTCTCTGTCCCTCAGGCCTCCCCAACTCAAAGTCATTGCTTTCTGCTTGGGGCAAAGTACAGAAGGGACAGGTTTCCCGGGCCGACGGGAAATCCCGTGGTGCCTGAGGCTGCGATTCATTTCCCACGTGGACGTTAAGGTGAGAAACAGAAGAGATGCAACAGGAAACGTCAGGGGGACACACTGTTCCACTTGGTGTTAAGACACAACGTTAGGAGGGTTCCTGGGGGGTCCTGGACATGTCGGTCACCTTCTCTGGCCTGGGACCACCTCTCTGAACACGACTCCTCCACCAACCCCGGAAAGCACCAGGTGTCCTAGGTAGGGGTGGAGTGAGAATGTGAACCCCACTAACCTAACAGGGCAGGTGTCCCCGACACGGACATGCAGCTGAGCAAACTCTCCAACCTGGGCGTGCGAGCCCCAGGGCACCCCAGATCCCGATCGGGACAAACGCTGATGCCACGGCAGACCCCAGCCACGGCAGACCCCAGCCACGGCAGACCCCAGCCACACCCCAGCCACACTCCTCCTTCTCAGACGCTACAACGCCCCCCATCCTCCCTCCTTCCACCACAGCCCGTCTACCTGGGATCTCAGTCCTGCTTCTACACTCTCGTCGTCAATGAGAAATGGAGACCTCATCACTCAAGGTCACCCCGGAAAAACGTTGGGCCCGGGGTTATAATTATTGTTTCAATGGGCCCCCGTTTTTGTGTTCTGTGTGTGTGTGTGTTTTCTTTCTTTCTTCCTCTCCTCCATGCATTTTGCCCAACTCTGCGGATGTAAAATGTGACGTGTGCCGAGCATCTCTGGGTGCTTGCTCATCCGCCACAGGCCCTGGTTTCAAGTGACTTCTACGAATTATGCTGAAGGAAACAGACCCAGCGTGGATCGACAAATAGGATATTTAGACGTGTCTTGATAACGAGGCTCGACACGGGAGCCCGGGAGGGAACACCTGCTCGACAGCCCCTCCCTCAGGAGAGACGAGTGTCTGTGCCCAGTGAGCCTGAGCAGCCTCCGGCGGTGGACACAGAGCGTCCCCGACACGAGACTTCAAGCTCGGCCAGACTACATTTCCACCCGGTTCCCTTTCCACGGAGACTCGCCATGTCCTTCCACGACCGTGTCTCCCTCAGCATCGTCGGAGAGCAGACACGACCCTGGACACCCCGCTGGAGGGGTTCGCACGCGTTCCGGTTCTCCCCGCGTCTGGGCAGCGGTCCGGGGCGTGCAGAGAAAGGAACTCAGGCGGCCCACTCGTGGGTGCCGGCCAAACGCTCACCCCTTAGAGCGGCCCGCTGCCGCACGCGCAGCACGTGGGGGCTCTGCTGCACCTCCTGTCCCGGCCGAGGGGCCGCTCACTGAACGGTTTGGCCCGAATTCTCTGCAATGACTTACTGGTGCTCAGAACAGTTGGGACGCGTGAGCCCCCAGGACACTGTCCCGGAAAACCAGTCACAGGGTGACATTCCAAGGGGGCCAACGAGCTCTAGACACGGACCAGGGCCAGCGTGCTTCCCGCTCTCCTTTCACGTGCTTTAGGGAAGGAGCAAAGTTCTGGACGTGGTGATGAGGGGAGTCCGCAGGGCCCCGTCCGAAGACGGGTCGTAGATGGCACCCAGCCGCCCGCCGGGTGTGGGTCTGGTCTGGGGCAGGTCTGTGGGCGCCTGGAGACGGGAAAGCAATGTCCACATGGGCTTTGCATCATCACAACCTCTGCGGAGTGTCGAGTGTGTTCTGCGAACGCACAGAACGGCACTCCTTCCAAAGGGACAGCGAAACGTCAGCCTCCGTCCGGCGCAACGCCCCGGGGGCTGCTGGTCTGACGTGGGTGGTCACCGACCACATGGGGAGAAGGGACTGGTTCTTAGCCATGAGCCTAGATCCCTGGTCAGCTACCCCGTGATGGCGGAGGAAGGGGACACGCACGGAACCTCCAATGGCACGTACGCCCCGCGCGTCCCGCAGCCGGAAGGATGCCGTGTGTCTCACTGCGCCCTCGCTTCCAGAGCCCGGCCCCTCGGCACGCGGGAGCCGCTCACATCCGAGGAGGCCGCGACGGCACAGCCCGGGACCTGGGGAACATCGTGGCGAATATGTGTGTCTAGGAGCCCACAGGAGACGTGGAACCGCGTGTGTCTCTGAGAACAGCCCGCCACGGGGCGGGAGGGACCTGGACGAACAAGCTTTGGGGTCACAGACACCACCTACCCCTGGACAGGCTGGAGATTAGATTTTAGCTGACATATTTAAATGTGTGACCCTTTAAAATTGGAGGCAGCGCCTGGCCGGTGTGGCTCAGCGGTTAGAGCATCAGCCCCTGGACCAGAGAGACCCGGGTTCGGTTCCCGCTAAGGGCATGTACCTCGGTTGCAGTTTGTCCCCGGCCCTGGTTGGGTCGTGTGGGTGGCAGCCACTCGATGTGTCCCTTTCACATCGATGTTTCTCTCTCTCTCTTCCTTCCACTCTATCTGAAGATAAACGCAAAAATGTCCTCGGGTGAGCATAAAATAAAATAAAATAAAACTGGAGGCATCAATTTTCCTAGGTGTGCATGCCCAGGCAGGGGCAGGCTGCCATAATCGGAGGTCAAACTTACTTTATAAGGAAGTGTTTCTGGTTTTCCCCTTAAAACACAAAACACCAACATGTCTTCCAGAGCATACAAACACGAAGGTTACAGTTGATGCATTTTTGACTATTGTTTTCCCACCGAGGGACATTCAGAATCAGTGATATGAAGCACACCCCACACTCTGCTGAGGGAGCCTACACCCTGGAACTGGTGGGACAGTGGCTACCATGAAACCAGGAACACAGCACACGCCCGACACTGTGACGTGACGACGGCAACCGGAGTGACCGAACGCGTGCCGGGCGCTTCCCTTCTGTGGTCTACACACGGGAGTCCGCAGAGTAAAATCGTGAGGAGTAACAACTGTGAGAAGTACAGGGGAGTCACAGTCAGGCTTTGTGGAGCCAAACGTCCGCACGAGACAGTTGCCAGACAAGGGGACACTGGTGCCCAGAACCCACACTGATGGGTGAGCCGGACAGTGCGGATGGGGTAGCAAAGCCAACGAGGGTAAAATTCCCGTGAAACAGACCAAATGCTAGGACCCCCGGGGGGAACTACGTCCAAGTGCCCGGTCTAGCCGCATCCCTGAAGGGGGAACGGAGAGGTCACCTGTCAACACCAGCCGACGGACACCCCGCCGCTCCCCTGCAGGCGCGCCTCTCGTACCCGAGCCACGCCTCGCTCTTCGGAAATGAAAGGCGAACCCCTGGGGCGTCCACAACCCAAAGGACTCACAGATACGTCCATCGAGAAACCCGGGGGTTCCAAGGAAACCCCGATGCAGAAAAAGCAAGTGTAAAAATGGGGCCCAGTCCCCCCGAATCGAAGAGGAAACTAACCAGCCGAGTTGGGAGTTGAGGGCGAGTTAGCTTGGCTTCCGTGGGCCGACACATTGGTAGCAGTGACGGCCGTTTTAGCAGCATAGATATTGGCTTCCTCTTGAAATTTACCTATGTTCTTCTTGTACCGGATGCGCTTATTCCCAAACCAGTTTGATACCTGGGCGGGGCGAGAGAAGAGAGAGCGTTAGCATGTCGTCCTGGGGGGGACACCGGGCGCCGGTCTGCTCCAGTTACGGTCCCACGGGCTCTGTGGAAAGGTGGGAGTCGCGCCCCAAGAGCAGCAGCGGTGTGGAATGAGACTTGAGCTGAACAGGGCGCAGTTCAGCACGACCAGGGGGCGGAATGTCCCTGCGGGGGGAGCCGCTCGTTTCAACCGGGACCCTCGGCGTCGAGGGCAGGCGCCGGAAGTCTGCTGACCTCTTAAGGTCACTAAAATCAAAGGCATTAAAAAATAACCAGCGTAGTCTCTGCAAGAATTTTCTTGGTCTCCGCATCAGGGCTAATGCTGACTCTGGGCAACCCAACGCCCCTGTACATCTCCATCGACGTCAGGGGCTACATTCGCGTTTCGGGGGAAGAAGCCGCCACGTGGACCAGATGCTCGTCCAGCTGCGCGGCACAGACCTCATCAGTGTCCTGCGGACTTCGCTGTGTGTGAGCAAAGCCGCCTGCCCACCTCCCCGCGGGAACTTCAGGCTTCCAGGTTGAAGCCGACACGGACGAAGCTCATCCCTGTTCCCATGTTCGTTCAGCTCCTTGGCGAGGCGGACGGCAGCTGCCTGCGCCCGGGGCCCTCGCCCCCAGCCCTCTGCCGGGCCCCGTGGACACCGTGAAGGGGGGCTCCCTCCGTCTCCTGCCTGGGCAGGAGAGTTGAGGCGCCGCGTCCCAGATGTGGCTGAGCACGAAGTGCTGGGGGTTTACATAATCGCAGAACCAGCTGTGAATCTGCTGAGGGGCGGCAGCGACAGACAAAGGAAATTCTTGCAGAGCTCACTGACTTCTGAACACGCGAGGGGCACGTGCACGCTAACCCTCGTGGTCCCCCGCGGGGTACAGGACGCCAGGGCTTTGCTGTGAATGCAAACTATTGCCATTGCATTCGTCCAACGAGAGACCGTCAGTGAGACATCGCTCTGTCCCTGTAAATCTTGTGCGACCGGAAAACAGTTAAACCAGAGACGGAGGGCACGTCTGGGTCCCTTCAAGGACCACGCCGTCTAATTTCACCCCAAAGTCCTGTCCACTCACACCGCTGGTCACCGTGGCTGCCTCCTGACATCGAGAACACAGAGGAGGAGGCTGGGTTCTTTGGAGGGACCCGGGTGAGCTGGGAAACGGGGACATGAAGGTCGTTTGGGGGACTTTGGAGGAAGGGACGGGCCCGAGGGATGATGAAATCGGGTTCGAGCGAGGCAACAGGAGAAGGAAGAGTGTGGCGGAGGGACGTGTCGGGGACAGGTCCCTTCTGGGCGGGAACAGCACCCGGGAGGGAAGGCCAGGTCCGTTGGGCATTCCTGGTGGCCCACCTGGTGGTGTCACACACCCCGGGCGGCGTGTAGAACCAGGGTCCTCATTAGTGAACTCCCTGGTCAGCACTGCGGACAGAGGGGCCTGCCGGGACCTGGGCGACAGATCAGTCTGAGACGGGTGGGCCCTGGGTTCTCCGGGGAGACGTGGAGGCACGTGCTAGGGGTGAGGAGCCCGCGGACGGAGCCCTGGCAGTCAGTGGGAGGCAGGGCTGTGGGTCTGTGTCCCAGGAGAGAAGTCCCATCGGACGTGAGAACGGAGGTGTGGCTGTGGGCATGGACCAGGTCACTCAGCGTGCGAGGGACAGACCCCAACGCCGAGGGCACCGAGAGGTTAGAGCTCGTTCCAGCCTCCCCCGCCCCGAGACTTTGATTCAGGATCGGGTGAGACCGCAGAACGGACATTGCTGCAAGTCCCCCGGCGTTGCCGACGCTGCCTTCCGTAGGTCCTGGGGTTCAGGAAGGGCGGTTTGGGGGCCGGGGCGGGGCGCAGGGAAGGACTTCAGGTGGACTTCGCTGAGTGAGCCTGTTTTGCTGTGGACCAAGGGAGGCCCCTTAGCACAGAGTTTAGAAGAACTGGTGACTGAAATAAAATGGTTCAGGGCCAAGGCGAGGGCACGAGGAGAGGGACACTAAAGAAAGCGGTATTTCAGGGTCGGCAGAGGGAGGGCACCCTCAAACACTGGGCAGGAGGGCCCAAGAGGCAGGCGCCTACAGAGGACCCCGCCACGGACAGCAAGAGATGAGGATCCCCAGGGGAGCGTGGCTGTTACTCGAGAAGGAAGGGAAGGCGGGAGGGGAGAAGGGAGAAAGTTCCAAAGGCACCCCCAGATTTGGGAACTAGATGGAGCTTTAGTACATTATGTGGTCCCAGTAACGACGGTTGGTCGATGGGGCAACCAAGACCTGGAAAGAGAGCGTGAGCTCCCCGAGGTCTCAGTGTGGACGCTTGGCCCTGAGCTCACACCCCTGCCCCTGGACTAGTCTGGCAATGGGGTGCTGAACAGCTGGGGAGCTGTGGGAGGACCGGGTGCCCGGGAAGGAGGAGGGCATGGTCTTGGGGTGGGGGAACGGGCGACACCTATGTAAACAGTCATGTTAATGGAGAAACTGTTTGCACTGTGTGTCTCCGTGTGAAGGGCGTGAGGGTGGCCGAACAGGCCAGGGGTCCGTCTGCTGTCCAGACAGGACACGGACTGGCCCCGGGAGAGCTCAGGCCGCCTCCCACAGGGGCCTGGAATTCCGAACCCCATGCTGACATCCACCGACGGAGTCGGGGCGTGACGCCCAGCGGGGGCCATTCCTCACACAGGCAGCAAACACCCAGTGTCGATCCGCTCCCCTTGTGGACAGGGGTCGAGATCCGGACAGGAGAGGTCAGAGGGCACCTGCCCGTGGTCCGGGGACTGTGCTTTTCCGGGGTCGCCGGGGCTGCACACGGCCCGAAGGGAGGTCTGAGCTGAAAAGGGACTGGTTCTGCACACCCCGTCTTTCTGCAAGGGTGTCGCTGTCGCTGCACAGAATCACAGTCTGCTGGGGCGCCCCTGGCACGCTCCTCCGTGCAGACCCATGTGGAGTCTGTCTCCCGGCCAGGCCTAACTCTGCAGGCTGATGGGATCGCGCCCTGCGGGGCGACAGAAGCCAGGACGCGGCCGGGGAGGACAGACGCTCGGCTGCTACAAAGCGATGGGAAAACATTCAGGGGAATTTCTCACTGCGGCAGGCCCGCCCCCCTGCACCCCTCCTTTGGAAACAGCGGTAGAGCTGGGCTCAGGAGAACCCTGGGACTTCCGCCTGGTCCCAGCTGGAGCCGGTGGTGGAACCGGAGGTCCCGACGGAGTGAGGGGTTTGGACGGACCCTCTGAGCAGAACGAACACACATACGTGTGAATACTGCCTCCTCCCTACTCCAGGTTAATGCCAAAGACTCGGGTCCACAAACATGTTACAGCATCTTCCATGTCAACCGGTTACGACTGCAGCTGTCAGGGAGGGGTGCTCGGGACCCCATGTGCACCCCCTCCAGCGCCCCCCGCCGTCACAGGGGGTGCAGACCAGGAGGCAGTTCAGACCCTGCCGTTAATAGGTCCATTCCCTGACTCACCGAGTCCTGGGCTGGGCAAAAATGGGCCAAGGAACTGACTGTGTTTGAGAAAAATCAGAACTGGGCTCACTCTCCAGGTCCACGGAGGAACCTTCCCCGCGAGACAGGGCGGGCGGTGGGGGGCACCGAGCTCGCTCCACAGGCCCTGCCCTGGGTCCGCGGTTTCGGCTGGCGGCTCGCGTCTGGGCTCTTACCGGACGCTCTCCTACGAGCACCTCACGCGCCAGCAGCGCCGACCGAGGGCTCGGGCCGGGGCACGGCGCCCCCGCCGGCGCGGGCCGGCCTGCGGGGCCTCACCTGGGACACGGTGATGCCGCACTTCTTGGCTAACTCCTCTTTGGCCTCCTCGCTGGGGTAAGGGTTGCTGAGGTGGGAGTAGAAATACTCGTTCAGGATTTCCGTCGCCTGCTTGTTGAAATTCCGCCTCTTCCGCCTGCACGGGAGACAGGAGACAGGAGACAACACACACGCGTTCACACCGAGTTCACACCCACGGGGAGGGGTCCGCTGGGAGAAGACCCGGCCTTCGGGAGATGGCGAGAAGGGGCCGGACGCCGAGACCAACGAGCATCTGCTGATCCGCACGGGGCCCAGGGGAGGGGTCACACGTGCTGATTGACACACGTGCTGATTGACACACGTGCTGATTGATTGACACGCGGGAGGAGCGGGAGGCTTCCGACCACCTTGGCTCTGAATGGGACTCACTGAACCCCCGTGGCCTGGGGGTCTCTCTAGGCCCCGGCCCTGCTGGAAGTGAGGTGAGGCGCGTGACCCTCAGGGGCGAGGGTGAAGGCTGGCCGATCACTCAGACCGTCACTGCAAGTGACCGGCTGTCCACGGGGAGGTAGAGAGGGTCACGCCGCAGGTCTGTGACGGAGCCAACAGGCTGATTCGGGTCGGCCTGGGGCAGACCCTCTGGACAAATCCCCTTTGGCAACCGCACAGGGACTCTCGGTCCCAAACGCAAAACAAGTCACGGCTGTGTCTCCGTCCTGCCCCCACGGACAAGCAGGCGATGTTTCCAAGAGGCCCACCGCGGACCGAGGGGCCAGGCTGCGCGGCGCCCCGCTCAGGAGAGAAGCGGTATTTCCTGGGCAGGAAGCCGCTGGGTGGTCAACCAGAAGCCCGCCGACATCTGTCATCGACAGGAGGCTGGAAGGAAGGTCACTTTTTGAATGAAAACATTCTTCTGCCTTTAAAAACCAGTGCTGCCCGCCGGTGCGGCTTGGGCTGAGCATCGACCCTGCACCAAGAGGTCGCCAGTTCGATTCCCGGTCAGGGCACAGTCCAGGTTGTGGGCCAGATCCCCAGTGGGGGGCGTGCAGGAGGTGGCCGGTCGATGTTCTCTCTCATCGATGTTTCTATCTCTCTCTCCCTCTCCCTTCCTCTCTCTCTAAAACCAATAAAGAAAAAAAAAGAAAAAAAAAAGAAAAACAGGTGCTAATTGAACTAATTCGAAATGAGGATTCCTTCATTCCCCCCCCCCCCCAAGGCCCTGCCGAGGCCCCTGGCTCCCTGCAGACCCAGCTGCCCCTCCCCCGGGAGGCGGGGCCTCCTTCTTGGATCCAGTTCTATTAGCTCTTCACCTCGCTCGCTTCCATCGAAGTTTCCCCTTGCGGACGAGACGCCCAGGACGTCCCTGGTTATGCCAGGGTTTAGAATTTCCCAATTTAGCCCACAAAAAGCACAGCTCACCTTGCTAGACAGGAAATTCAGCTAATATTGTATTTTCAGGGTCCCTCTTGGATTAATTAACACAATAAAGTGCCTGATTTTACCGGGCGAACACCATCTGTCCACAGGTGTGAACCACATCTGTCCAGATGATGCCAAGACGAAGCTGCTCTCCCAAATCCCGCTGCCCTTCTGGGCCACCGGGCACCAGAAACTGGGCCGATCGGACTAAAAGCCCCGATGAAGAAGCAGGGGTGTGTTCAGAGCTGCTGCGTGATGAGGGTCTGGGGGAGCAACGGCACTGTTGCCCAGGCCGGTCCTGGCAGAACCCTGGCTTGGTCTTTGCCTACAGGGGACAGCTGTCGGGGGCCTGGGGACCGGAACCCCGGAGGCGGCCCTGATGGGGGGCCTCACACATCACTCAGCCGTTTGCACCACAGTTACAGCCTGCGCTTTGCGACTCCCATCGGAGCTCCAAGGCGGCCTCCCGGGGACACGCGGGTCTGGGCGTGCGGACAGACCGCTGTTCCAGCTCGCCTCTCCCTGTGCCGGGCCGGCTTCCCCGGGCGGGCAAATCTACGTGGGAGGCCCCTCGCCACCCTCCTGTGGCTGTCTCAGCCCAGGGCCGGAAAACCCCGGATCAGGATTTTGCAGAATTTCAAGAAACTCAGGGAAAAGAACACACTTCCGAGGGTTAGGGTACCGGAGCTCAGACATCTATCTGGTTTCCCCCTCTGGCTTCAAGTGGTCTCAGCTCAGGGAGCCCAAGCGGATAAAAGCTCAGAAAGGCGGTTACTCGGTTTTGAGTTGAAGAAACACGGAAGTGGCCCAGCGGGTGTGGCTCAGTGGACGGAGCCGTCGTCCAGTGGGCAGAGAGGTCTCTGGTTCGATTCCCGGCCAGGGCACATGCCCAGGTTGCGGGTTTGATCCCCAGGAGGGGGTGTGCAGGAGGCAGCTGATGGATGTCTCTCTCCCTTCCTCTCTCTCTAAACAAATCAATAAAAACAACATTAAAAGAATCACCGCAGTGGACCGAACATCACTGAATAGCTGCAGCTTCCTAGGGACGGCAGGGGAGCAGGACACCCAGGCCTGTAGACAGACGCTGCCGACTACCTTCATGCCGCCCCCCAGCCTGACCCCTCACCCTGGCCCTACCCTTAACCCAGACCCCATCCGGCATGGAGATCTGAGGCCTGTCCCTGGAGGCTGGACCGATGCATGCTCCTGTCCATCTCTGCTGTTCCCGTGGTGACACAGCCCCGGCCGACAGTGAGGGCTCAGCTGGGAGAACGGAAGGCTCCCCCCCAGCGCCCACGCTCCCTGAGGGTGGGTGGGACTATGGAAACGACCGGCCATCACTCCTCCGACTAGGCTACAATCAGCTGGTTTGAGTCCATGGGAACGAAGAACCGGGCGAAGTGAAAATGGCAAGATTCTCTCGCGGGCCGGGCTGCGGCGTCTAGGGAGAGGGCAGCTCCGCGGAGCTGGGACCTCAGTCCTACGGCCACAGGAAGTGCGTCCGCCCACAGGAACCAGCCTGGGAGAGGAGGCTGGGCCTCAGGTGCGATTGGGTCTCAGTCGCTGCTCCGCGACTCCCGACGACAGACACGGCGAGACAACACCTGTGCTGTGACATTCGCATCTGCAGGTCTGGCTGCTAACAAAGGCCCGTCCTGTTGCTAGGCCAGGTCCCTGCACTTCCGTGGACCTGGTGCCCGCTCCCTGAAGTCCGCCCGCCCAGCAGGCCAGGAGGCAGCGCCGGGACCGCCCCGAGTTGGAGGCTGCAACACGCACGTGTCTCTCTGCTCGGCCTCGGGAGGGCCTTCGGGTCACAGTCACGGACACCGAGCCAACCCTCAGAGTGAGCGCTCAGAACAGGGACTGCGGGCGGGCTGTTCTCGCTGGGGACCTGGCTCAGCGGACAGAGGCCGCCCTGGAGGGACTGCCCTTCCGGGGGCACCTGGGGCCTGGGGCGAGGCGGAGGCTGTGGCACCAACCTCGAGGCGGAGCTGCCCGGGCAGGGCAGGAAGGAGCCCGTGACACGGGGACTCTGTTCCCCCTTCTCCCCGATTCCTTTCTTGAAAAGAACTCGGTCTGGGCCCAACTTTTCTTTTTTCCTGGATCTGCCGACATAAATACCGACTCCAGCATTTTAACGAGGGGCGTTGCCATGGGGATGGCAGAGAGGCTGCTGCCATCTCTGGGAGGGACCCAGACAGAGGCCACCAGTCACTGCACGGAGCTGCCCCCCTGCCGCAGAGAAGCCAGGCCGGCAGGGGGAGAGGCACAGGGTCCGGCCCCCGCCTGTCCCACACCCAGGCAGGAAAAGCCACCTTGTTCCCCGTCTCCGGGGACACACGCTGGCTGGCGCTGTCCATGTGGTTCCACGGGCCCAGACGTGCTGCGTGAGGGCGCCGAGGAGATGCCAGGCCTGTGGACTGTGAAGACCACAATGGGGGGCAGAGAGAAGACACGATTCCAGGGGTGAACCATTCTGAGGGAGCCCCTCTGCGTCTGATAAAACCGTGGTCGTGACACGGCGCACCTCCGGACATGCCGGAGGTTGTAATAACACGCACTGTGGGTTTCGGGGATCACCGTCAGACAAGTGGGTGGAGAACTGCCTTTGTGGACGATGCTACCCGAGGACCGAGTGTCGGTCAGAAAGGACGTAGCAGCCCTGCCTGCAGGCCGGAGAAGAGACCCCCAAGAGGTCAAGGATTTGGGCGAATCCTTTGGGCGGGGGGCTGAGGACGAATGGCCCGTCCTCTGCTTGGTTTCTGCCGTAAGGACCTTGGCATCGGGGTTCCATGGGACTCCCTGAACTCGCAGCGGGGTCCTGGCGGCAGTGCGGGGTGGCGACGTCGAGCCTGGAGGGAAGCTCGGCCCGTCGGGCAGCCCCTTGCTCCCGTACGCACCAGGGACCACGACTCGTCTCTCCTAAAACCCGCTGGGAGCGTGGCACGTGGCCATCACCCGTGTGCGGTGGGGAAGGACCCAGAGGACCTGAGTCATGGCCTGTGGGGTGCGGCCATGACGGGGCAATAAGGGGGTCTCTGCCTGGCCGGGAGCTCAGCTGGTGGGAGCATTGTCCCCAAAGGCTGTGGGCTCCAACCCCAGTCAGGGCACACGCAGGAATCAACCGGTGAATGCGTAAGAAGTGGAACAACACTTGGATGTTTTCTCCCTCGGTGAAATACTCTCAGAAGAAGAGAGGAGCCCCCCGGGCAGGAAAACAAGTCCCGCCTCTGATGCTCCGGGCATAGGCATCACCCCAGCCCACGTTCCGCAGCCCTGCCCCGAGCCCTGGCCCTCCCTCGGGGCCGCGGCGACTCACCTGGCGTCCAGGAAGCGGGAGCGCAGGATCATGACGGCCTCGCAGGTGCTCTGCTTCAGCTGCATCTGGATGGAGCTGAACTTGCGGTGGATGATGCTCACCATCCGCTCGATCTCCTTCGGGGAGATGGGCCGGGTGCGGCTCTGCTCGCGGAGCAGGTTCATCACGTGGGTGGTGAACTCGTTGCAGGCCTGGGGGACAGAGCGGCCGGCGGGGCGTGGCGTCAGGTCGGGGGCACGGACGGCGTCACGGCCTCTCTGGGCCTTGGACGCTACCCTCCGGCCACGTGTGGGTTGGGAGAGGGAGGGAAATTCTGAATCTTTTTTTTTTTCATGACTTTGCTCCTGTAAAAGACCGGACATGACAGGTCACACGCCTTCACCCCCAGGCGCAGGGCCCGCCCCGGCCGTTACGTCTGCGGGAGCAGGGCCTGGGCGCCTGAGCCTCCCGGGACCCACTTCTACTCGTTCGTTATCAGAACCTGTGCTGGCCTCCCCTCTGCCTAGAGGCCTCGCGACCCAGAGGACCCAGGGGCCGCCCTGCGGACAGGAACCTCGCAGGACGACCAAGATCAGCTCCGGGGTGAGCGGGACGCCGCTTAGCTCCTCACTTCACAGGCGAGGAGACTGGCCCGGAGAGGCGGGACCCTTTCCAAAGCCGCACAGCCAAGAGCGGCCATGAAGCAGGACCTGCTCGCTTCCTGCCTCCTCCAGCCAGGGGCTCGGCCGCCCCCGAGCCCGAACCCACCCCTCTGCGCACCCGCCCTCTCTTCTAAGGACAGTCCCCAGCGCCTGGAGCCCGCTCCCCAGCTCAGCATCCAAGACGCATCTGTCCCGGGGAACCCCTGTCCCGGGGAACCCCTGTCCCGGGGAACCCGGGCAAGGCTGCCGCAGTGGATTGGGTTTGCGACGGGAAAGGCAACAGGCCACTCTGGGAAGCCAAGGACTGGACTCCGAGGCCAGCCTGATCTTAAGGACCGGACGCGTTCGTTGACGCCACGTGGTGGGTTCCGGCAGCACGGAGCCCTCCGGTCAGTGGCACAGTCCCCGTGACAGTTACCGTCGCCCTCTGAGCGATCCTTGGGTGCGCTGGGCCAGAGACACAGGGATGCGCCCGCTTAGCTGTGTCCACCCCGGGCCCGGGAGGCTGGCTCTGACCTGCCTCTGCGCAGAGTCCGGGGGATCCTTCCCTGCTCAGTGCCCCCTGTTCGCCTGGGTGGGTGTGGCCATTCCTAACCTCCAGTGAGCAGGAGAGTCCCCAGGCTCAGGGCTGCCCCGGGGGGAGCAAGCCCCTCCTGGGAACACGGCGTCTGGGGCCCAGGAGAGGCACCGGCCACCTCTGCGACCCGCTCAGCGGTGGGACCTCGAAAGTTCCCTTACGCCTCTGCCCCTCTTCACCCTTATTTGTGACAAGGGGTGACAATGTCCCCCTCGAAGGCTGTGGGGAGCATGAATCGAGCTACTGTGTCTGTCTGTCCACACAAACAGGCACCATCTCTTCAAAAGGTGGGTAACTTAGCCCGGCCGGTGTGGCTCAGTGGGTGGGCGTCGACCTGCACCAAGAGGTCACCGGTTCGATTCCCGGTCAGGGCACATGCCCAGGTGTGGGCCTGATCCCCAGTGGGGGGCATGCAGGAGGCGGCCAGTCGATCTCTCTCATCGATGTTTCTGTCTCTCTCTCCCTCTCCCTTCCTCTCTCTCTAAAATCAGTAAAGAAAAAAACCATTTTTAAAAAGACGGGTAACTTAGGGTCCCGACATATGACGGGTAGACGTCTCCAGGCCTCAGCGTCTCTCTCGGTGGAAGCAAAGGGGTCCCTGGTCCTCTGCAGACAAGTGATGGACATCAGGTCCCTGGAGCCTGCTCTCCACTAAGTTACCATAGAAACACACACTGTATAATAAGTTCACTCTCCCCGAACCACCCCCACGCCAACTGTACGAAGAAAGGGGGGCAGACCCGGGCCGTGAGCTGGCTGGGATTCCAGGAGCTCGGGGTGGGGGAGCAGTTGGGGCGCAGCGAGTGGCTCGGCCCCAGCTCCAGGGGCCCTGCCAAGTGGCTCCCGCTGCACAGCCCCGGGGCTCGGCTGAAATCAATGCTCTTCACTGCGGAGAATAAAGACACTCACACAGTCTGATGTTTTCCAGGGCCCCGTACCCAGGCCCCTCCCGCTCGGCCGGGGCAGCGGGGCGGCGGTGAGCCGGCTGCTGGGACACGGCCACCAGCGCACAGGTTCCCAGTCCGGACGGAGCGTCAGGGCCCGAGCTCTGCGGACGCAGGCCCACCCCCTCCGCGCCCCAGCCTGGGCCCTGGCGCCGGGCTGCCTCCCTCGCCCCCTGGATACCAGGTTACGACTGCCCGTCAGTGGACCCTACAGGCTGGCGGCTTCTGGGACAGGACAGTGGAGACGGCGCCTTCCGGGGGCCGAGGGCAGGTGTCAGCGCAAAGCCCTCTGGGAGCTGCAAGGGGCGGGGGCCTCTGGGAAAGTCTCGCTCGAGACTTGGGGTCGCGCTTCCATCCTGCTGGGCCTGGCCCCCCCCAATCCTCCCCCCCGCAGCCCAGATCCGCCTCGGAGACTCGGCCGTCCCGTCCCGGCAGCGCTGTTTACCAAGGCTGGGGCCCCGCGCGGCCACCAAGCCCCGTCTGCTGAAACACGGCACACGGCTGAGCCCACTCCCGCCGCCATGGGCTTGTCTGTCAGCGCTCAACGACCGAGGACCCCCGAAAACGTGTGAACCCCGTTTCATGAGACTTCCCTCCTCGCCTGTGAAAGGCCCTCGAAGCCGGCTTTGCTTACTGACCTCGGGGTGACGCATGGCTGACTGACATAGGTTTTTGGGGGCGAGTGGGGTGAGGAGGTGGGAAGCGAACCGACGGCCTGGTTATCTGCCCCTGGAGCAGAGCACGCGCGGGACAGAGGCGGCCGTCGGGTCCGCTGGCCTCTCCTCCGGGCACGCACGGGGCACTGTGAGGACAGCCCTTCCCTGTCCTCGGCAAGGCGCCCTGAGGAGGGGCCCAGGAAGCGAATGCGACGTGTCTCAGACCAGCGAGGACGGCATCGTCCCCTACGGTCTGCATCTACTGTAACTACAACACAATGCGCAGCGACGAGCCCAGGGTGTGGGCCCGACCCCCAGTGGGGGGCGTGCAGGAGGCGGCCAGTCGATGTTCTCTCTCATCGATGTTCTCTCTCTCTCTCTTCCTCTCTCTCTAAAATCAATAAAGAATAAAAAGAGAATGGTACCTACAGACCTTCCCACCACACTCGGGTCATCTGCTCCGGGGTGACGGGGTGTTTCCTGAAGCCCCAGCTCCCGACACCCCCCTTCTTCATGGCAGGTGCGGTCCCTGTGCGGATGCTGAGGGGAACGTGTCCTCCGGCCCCAGAAGGGACGGGACAGGCCGGCCCTCGCGTCTGCGGAGGGGCTCACACTGCACACTGAGTGAGGAGTCAGCCTCGCCCCGGTGAGCGTCCCAATCTGGACCCCGGGAGACCCAGCCCCCCACTGGACGTGTGACCCAGACGCATCACCTAACCTCTGACCTCCCCATCCTCACCTGGATCAAATGGAGACGAGGACAGTACCTGTCCTGGACCCTGCCCCAGAACCACCTTGGGGAACAAATGTGATTGTGCCGTGCTTCGGGGGAGGGCAGAGGGTGACGGGTTAAATCCAGGGGACAGTCCGTTCTGTGCTGGCACCTCCGCCCAGGACAAAGCCAGCTTCTCACTCCTCCTGCTTAGCATCCGTTCCCTCGTGGGTTTCCCGGGGCGGGGGTGGGGCGCACTCTGGCCTCTTCTCGTGCCCTGCGGTTTGGCGCGAGTCACCCGGGTAACAGGCAGGCCAGGTAGTTGTGCCAGAGGCGGGCTCGGTGGTGAAGGGGAAGGAGGAAGAAGCCAGAGGCCGCTGGGGACCTCTGAGGGGAGGTCCTCGCGGCTCCCACTTGTCCCGTCCTGGGGGCAGACTGGACTCAGCGTGATGGTCCAGCTGCGGGCCCTCCTGGTCAGCCAGCTCACCAGTCAGCATCTCCTGGGCCCTGCACACGCCCACATGAGCCCAGGCGGGCGAGGGTGACAACTCGCGGGCTCCCAGCAGGGAAGGGGTGAGGTTCCGACACCCCTCCCCGCCCCCACCTGTCTGCTGGCCCAGGTGTGGCCTCAGGCTCCCAGCAACCTTATCTCATCACAGAGGGAGTTGGCAGAAAGCCATTTCAAAGGTGGACAGAAGTACAATAATGAAACTTTCTTCGCTTTAAGTTTTCAAATGCCCGTTTCCATTTTAAATTGAAATTGTCTGTTAAGTTTGCATTTGCCCTCTGCCTAGACAGTCCCAGGTGGGCGGCAGGGCGGGCCGTCCACCTCTGCTCTCTCCCTCTTCTCGGGGCTCCAGAAAGAAGGGAACCTGACAAGTCAGTGACAGACGTGACCTGTGGGACCAGGACCGGGTCGCCCCAAGAGGCGGACACGAAATACTTAAGTAGGTGGGGGAAGGCTGGTGGGGGTCCTGCAGAGGTGGTATCGCTGGGCCAGCACAGGGGCGCTCAGATAGATGAGTGGAGTGTGTGTCAACGTGAGTGTATTTTGTGTGTGTGTGAAAGTATACTGTATATGTGTGTGAGTATGAGTGTGTGTTTGAGCCAATGTATGTCAGTGTGTGCGTGACTGTGTGCATTTGTGAGTGTGTGAGAATGAGTATGATTGTGACTGTGAGAGTGTGTGATTGCGACTGTGTTTTAATGTGTGTGATTGTGTGAGTGTAGTGACTGAGTGTGTGTGCATGAGTGTGTGGTTGTGACTATGTGAGTATGTGAACGAGTGTGATTGTGAGGGTGTGAGTGTGTGATTGCGACTGTGTGAGCGTGTGGTTGTGACTGAGTGAGTGTGTGGTTGTGACTGAGTGAGTGGGTGTGAGTGTGAATGAGTGTGATTGTGACTGAGTATGAGGGTGTGCGTGTGGCTGTGTGAGTGTGTGACTGTGATTAAGGGTGTGAGTGTGACTGTGTGAGTGTATGAATGTCTGTGACTGAGTGTGTGATAGTGACTGTGTGTGAATGGCTATGACTGTGAGTGTGATTGACAGTGTGTGTGTGACTGAGTGTGTGGTTGTCACAGTGAGTGTGGGAGTGTGTGGAGGGAGGTCTCAGACGAGGGGAGTCCCGCTCAAGGGAACAGCTCACCCCGACACCCGCCACGTCGCCGACAGCCTTTCCTTCCATGCTCTCCGTGGCCCTAACATCCCTGACTCTCTCCGTGGCCCTAACATCCCTGACTCCAAGCCCACAGCTCTCGGCCACGAAGCACCAGCTCCGACGTGGCGTGTGGGGGACACTGGGGCCCACAGACTGCTGGCGGAACGTCAGGACGGGAACCCACGTTTGCCAGACTCCAGGGGCCCCAGAGACCTACGCGCAGAGGGCACGTGGTACGTCGTGTGACAGCAAAGCCGCTCTGGGCAGAGCCGGGACCCCGCGGCGCCCCACGCCCCCACCGCGAGGCCCGCAGTTACCTGCTCGTACTTCTCCAGCTCCGTGTGGTAGATCTGTCTGATCTGCGACAGTTTGGCCCTGTAGTCCGAATGCTCCACCGAGTTGTCCGAACCCGCCCCTCCGGAGGCCGCCGCCGCCGCCGCCGCCGCCGCAGAGCCGCCCCCCTTCTCGGGACCTGCCACCCCCTCCGCCAACAGCATGTTGTCCAGTCGCATCAGCTGGGGGTCGGTGGGCTCCTCTTCCTGGGCCCCCCGGATACTCAGAACTGCAGGAAGACAGAGGAGGGGTGTTAATGGCGACCCGCAGAGATCATAAAGCCTGGAGCGTCAGCCGTGTTGCTGGGCACAGAGCTCCCGAGCGCCGTGCAGTGGGGTCCGGGGGCTGGCGAAGGGAGGACCGTGCGGGGCGCGTGCTTGGTTCTGAGACTCCTCCGCCTGCGAGGGCCCGAGGGCCGCCGGTGCGCGGGGCAGGAGTGGACCGGGGGACGGTGGGCAGGGAGCGTTTCATGGGGACAGAGGCTCATTCCGGGGGACAGAGCTCTGGGCTGGTGGTGACGGCTGAATGACAGGGTCCTGGATGTCACTAAGCCCGGCTCTGAAAACAGTTAGAACGGCACATGGTGTGTCATGTAAACTTTATCGCAACTAAAGAAATTCCAAGGCTGCAAGAAATCTATTATAACAACATAATTTCCTCTTTCGCCCCCCAACCGCCAAATTTTAATGGAAGGCGAAGCATTTCCTTCTTCTAGTCTAATTTTAGATTTCTGAGAGTTTGTGGCTTCACGCTCTGACTCTAACAGTTGACGAGCCTGGAGTTTCATTCCCAGAGTGACCTCGTCGGGGGTCCAGTTCGTCTGAAACCTGAGGCCGCCCCACTGGACGAGCCGCGCGGAGGGGGCTGACCCAGCAGACAGCTGGCCCTGGGGCAGGCGTGTGTCCCCGGAGATTGGGACGCTGCCCTGTTGGCGACAGCGGTGGGCCCTTCGAGCAGACTGTGTCGGGGACTCAGAGAAGCCGGGGTTCTGGAGGGATGGGGGAGCTCCGGTCAAGGAGACGGATGCCTTTTAGGGAAACTCACGACCGCCCGGGGAGTGGGGTCTGGACCGGAGGGGATGGAGTGATCTGGTCACTCAGCAAGGAGCTGGTGGTCCCTTCCTACGTCGCACACCCGGTCACAAAATAAACCTCCGTCCACACCCAGCGAGGGGGCAGCAGCCAGGTCTTTGTTGAGGGGGGCCCTGCAAATCATTTCCAATGAAAACCACTGGAATGTGAAAACCACGTGGGTAGGGCAGTGACGAAGGCCGGGCTGGTTCCCACTCCCCGGGAACCAGGGAAGCGTGACCGCGGACTGGCGGGGTGCAAGCGCTGATTTGGGGGCACATCTGGCGAGCCCACGGGCTTTGCCCGGGACGGGAAGGACAACACAGCCACGCTCACCTCCGGGCTTCGAACAGGCAGACTAGAGCCCGCCGGCAACGCGGTGCCCAAGGAAACCCCCATTCCTGCAGGGTCGCCCGCACAAACCCCTGGATGGCCTGGGGCAGTGTCCAGCCAGGGCCAGTGGTGGTCATCGGGGCAGAGGATAAAAGGTGAGAGAGAAACATGGATCGGTTGCCTCCCACAAGCGCCCTGACCGGGGCTTGAACTCACAAGCTGGGCAGGGCCCTGGCTGGGAATCGAACCCACACTCGGGTGCACGGGACGCTCCACCCCGAGCCGCCCGGCCCAGCACACTCCCTCCCCTGAACCATCAGTGGGCAGCACAGCTACGCACACAAACGCCCACTGATCTAATTCACGTTTTCCTTGGTCTGGACACAGCACGGGTTTTAAATGACACCAGGGAGGGAATGACTAGGGCTGGACGGGGGCACGGGAGGAGCCCCGCCCGCCACGGAGGGTGAGGACGGCGCAGGGTGCGAAGCCTTGGTCCACACGGACTCTTCACCCTCAAGTGTGAAGGGTCCGTTTAATGGGGGAGGGAGGGACGATTAAAACAACAACAAAAAAGTGTTAGCATTTCACTTAGATTTCATCCTTTCTGAGCCCTGTGAAAATACTTTTTAAAAAGAAATTAGGATCCACTACAATGTAATAGGATTGGTTTCCACATGTGGACAGTAAGAAACTGGTAGGATCGCTATACAAGGCGCCACACCGCAGATGTTCTCAGCTCGGGTAAAAAATTCAGAGTGAACTGCGAATGGGAACAGGGAGAAGAGAGAGGTTCCCTCCCCTCTGTGCCCTGGCAGGGTCTGCACCCGAACCCAGTGGCCCTGGGCTGGGCACGGGTGGGTGAGGGGGCACGGGCAGGCGAGAGGGGCATGGGGGTGAGGGGGGTATGGGAAGATGAGGGGGGCACAGGCAGGCAAGGGGGGACACGAGTGGGTGAGGGGGCATGGGGGGGCTAGGGGGCACAGGGGGGTGAGGGGGGACACGGGTGAGCAAGGGGGGCACGGGGGGGCGAGGGGGGCACAGACAGGCAAGGGGGGACATGGGTGGGTGAGGGGGCATGGGGGGCGAGGGGGGCACAGGCGGGTGAGGGGGGACACGGGTGGGTGAGGGGGCATGGGGGACGAGGGGGGCACAGGCAGGCGAGGGGGGCACAGGGGAGCCAGCACACACATTGTGACCCACTACACCCGGGCGTGGGACTGACGGGAAAGGAGCCAGCTACAACACCCACATGTTAAATGCATAACGAGAAGGGGACCTGTCTAACCAGAGCCGGTGCTCCCTATTTACGACTCGAGGCTGGCACTCTGCTGAGGTGGAGACAAAATGATTATTTAAAAGGTCTTTTTATCTCTGGACACCACGAAGACTGAAGCGAGCTTTCTCCAGGGCACCGGCGACGCTAACACACCCTCCACGACCCAGTTCCGCCCGGAGCTGCTACCTAATCCAGCAGCCATCACATCCCATCAGCTCCCTGGGCCCTGACGGCATCCGCCCGCCCCGTGTCCCTGCCCAGGAGCCCAGCGGCTCTTCCCGACGCAGGTTTTAAAGGGCAAACCCCCCATTTATGCCAGTGCACTTGGGGGCTGAATAGTCTGGTCTGTGCACGCCTGCTGCTGAAATGTTACCCATTGCCCTGGATTCTATCCCGGGGGAGGGGGTCCCCAACAGGAGACTTCACCCTCTGGGTCATAATTCTTAGAGGAGTTTCCTGCTCCAAAATCCACCCCCTCACGGAAAAGACCGGTCAAGGCAGGTAAGGGGTTTCTACAGAAAGGGTCACGCCCTTTACAAAGCATCTTCCACCGTCACCGGCCCTGGGGTTAACTCTGCAGAAACTCCCGAGGTAAGAGAATCATCACAGCTCAGATCCCCACTGTTCCCACTTTGCTTCTCTCCTCGCAAGCAGAAAACACACCAGCCGCAGAGGCACATTCGGGATCTGGGGCGGGAGGGCTGGCACAGGCCGTCTGTCCCAACCTGAGCCCTGCGGGGGCCGGAGCAGCTCCCGGCAGGCCCACTAGAGGGCACTGTGTCTGCACTGAGGACAGGTGGGCAGGGAGCACCAGGTGTGCCCGGCCGGATCCACAGCCCCAGGTGGGCAGGAGGCCGGGCTACAGGCAGGTCGTCTTTGCATGTGGACAGCACTGCAGGGACTCCAACCTGGGCCGAGACCCGGAGAGCGGCCAGGTGGGGGGAGGCAGCCGCTTAGGTGGGAGCCCGCACGCTCTCTGGCCGAGCCCTCCGCTTGATGTGAAGGCACAGGCTCCCCTCCCCGCAGGGTGTCCCACTGTCCCCCCGCCAGGCTCCCGGACCCACGGCCGGGAGGAGCTGGGAGGGTGCAGCCCCGCCAGCCCCCAGCGGTCAGACTCTGGGCAGGAGTCCGATGGACATGCGCGTCCTTGCGCTTTTACAGGAAGTGCAGCACGCTTGCCTCCTGAAATGCCAGGCACCCCTTCAGGTGTTCGTGCAGGACTCGACCCTGAGCCGCATCACGTAAAGGCGGGAGGGTTTTCCAAGGTCAGAGCAGAGACTGAGCCCACAGGCAGGACCGGACCAGAACCTGGGCCGCAAACTCCGCCTGGACCACGCAGCACGAGGGCTCGGCTCTCTCAGTGGTAGTTCAGTGGGTGTGCAATTAGGGCTGTGTGTGTGCAGACACACACACAGACACCTACACCCCACACAGAGACACACACACACTGACACCCACACACATACAGAGACACAGACACACTCACAGAGACAGACAGACACACAGAGACACACACACACTAACACCCACACATACAGAGACACACACACACTGACACCTACACCCCCCACAGAGACACCCCCCAACAGAGACACACACACACTGACACCTACACCCACCCACAGAGACACAGACACACACACACACACTGACACCCACACACATACAGAGACACAGACACACTCACAGAGACAGACAGACCCACACAGACACACAGACACACACACACTGACACCCACACACATAGACACACTCACAGAGACAGACAGACACACACAGACACACACACTAACACCCACACATACACAGAGACACACACAGAGACACACAGACACACACACACACTGACACCCACACACATAGACATAGACACACTCACAGAGACAGACACACACAGACACACACACTAACACCCACACATACACAGAGACACACACAGAGAGACACAGACACACACACACACAGACACACACACAGAGACAGACACACACACACTGACACCTACACCCCCCACAGAAACACACACTGACACGCACACACACACACACTCAGTCCTGCTGTCAGGTCCTGACGGTCCTGGAGGGAGAAGACAAGCAGAAAGGAGGACAGGAAGGGGCAGTCTGCACTGACTCTGAATTTCCTTAAATCCCCGTGAACGCGAGGAAGGCCCCGAGGCAGCCGGTTCACAGACCCGTCACTGGGGCCACAGGTGCAGGACAGACGTGGATGCTCAGGTTTCAGGGAGGGGTCAGCGTGGGCTTCTGGACGCCGCAGGTTTCCCCGCCCAGGCCCCTCCCACTTCGCCCCGCGGCTGCCCGGGGTGGTGCTGGCCACCAGAGGTGTCCCAAGGGGCAGACGCCTCGTCTCCTCGCCTCCCTTTGGCTCGGTTCCAGTCGACAGCATACCCACATCGTAAATCTCAGTAAGGATTAAATCGGGTTATGTTCATAAAAGCACATGTCGGTGCTTGGTAGCCGGTAGGTTTTCGACTGTTGGTTAAACCTAAGTCGACCCCATTGGTAAAGGTCCCCGCGGGAAGCCCCGGGA